CTGGGTATATGGGTTTTAGAGAAAGACAACTCCCACTCAGCTGCAGGGTCTTATTAACAACGTGAGGAATGGGTCAGAATCGGAAAATCACCTACGAATGAAGAAGTCCACCATAGCCGGTGTGGTGGAGGAGGTGGACAGTCTGTGGAGAAACGGTTTGTTAAGGAAGAGGGCAACATTGCTTACAGGGAGTTGGAGGGGCCATCACAGTTTGGCCAGAACTTGACATTCATTGGTGGTGCTCGCCAAACAGTTTGTTAAGGAAGAGGGCAACATAGCTTACAGGGAGTGGGAGGGGCCATCACAGCTTGGTCAGTACTTGACGTTCATTGGTGGTGTTGGCCAAAGAGGCATCATTTTGGAGCTTCATGGTGCTTCGCCTTCATGGGATGCCGCGGCAAGTTTAACTCCCATAGCAGGGTGACAGAGCTTGCGAGTGAGCAATTGAATATCGGGCTTCAGAACGTTATTCTGCCTTATTTTATTCCTTGAAATTCTTGATCCATTTTGCTAAAAAAGAAGGAAAAGCCTTATCATGTGAACCTTATTTTCTCCCATGGGCTTTTTGTGAGCCAACCTCGAATGACTGCTATGCATTGATCCTCTCAGCGGTTCATCCCTAATCTCCGGTCATCGTGACCTGTTATTTTCCTGGTGTTTTGCCCTGTAAATATCTGCAGCAGTACATACTGTAATGTTCCGCATGGACTAACGATTTGGATAAGATGGAGGGGAAGGAGGAATGTTTGACATGTAGCAAAACTCAGTGCTCTTGTACACTGGGGGATTAGGATTTGAGTTACATGGGTTCCGTGCCAAAGTGAGGCAAAGCGTTCCATTCCCTGTCCTCTGAAGCACCAGCCCTATACGAACCTGACATGTTACAAACTACCTGCACGTAAACTTCACTGAGATGGCCCACAACCGCACAGTCCAATGACTGTTGATCCAACAATGACAGTTTGTGCAGAGCCTCCGAAATTCCAGGAGGCTGGCAAATTCCCCAGTCAGCAGCAGGGCATCTCAGGGAGACTGGCGGTTTAATAATGCCTTAGTGGCTCTAAACCACGCTCTAAACCACCACTACCTCTCCTAGGCAAACTTTTGTGACGAATCGGTCTACATCCGCACTCTTCCGGGGCCCGGCCTCCTGGGGCCAAAGAAGTAAAAGAAGAGTGCCGCGGCCATTCATTTCGGACTTGGCGCGCTTCAGAAATCTGCAAGTGGGTAAAGAGGCTGAAAGGTTGTGGTGGTTTAAAATGAGACACTCTTGGTCTGCCTGTTGGAGGCGTTGCATATCATTTTCCATGTGTTCCACTTTGTTATCTTTTCTTTTGGTTTACCCTTTTCTCTATAGCTTTACTTGGAGTAGTGTCTCGTATTTTCATCCGCACCTTTTCTTCCGAAGTGTTGATTCCACCGGTTCCTCTGATTTCTAACTACTGATCTCTAATTTGCTGATTTTAGCATTGTCTTTGTGTTATTGCCTGTTGGTGTTGTTTCACAGCTACTAGGACCCTTACAAGAGCTGATGGCGAGAGAGAAGATTGATCGGGTAGGTACCTCTGTATGTTAGCTTTGTGCTTTGCCAGGTGATGATATTAGCTTCAATGCTAGGCTGTCAGCCGGTGAGCCCGGAGTGGCTCTGGCTGCCGGGGTCGGCTGGGCAAGGTGCCCTTTTTTTCCCCCAAAGAAAGCTGGAGTTTTAGTGAGGCAGGGAATCCCTCCACATCTCAACCTGGATAAAGCTGGGGCCGCTACCCAGATTAGGCTTGAGCTGGAAACCGGGTCCAGCATCCCATTGACTGCGACTTCAAAAAACTCAGAACTGGACTAAGAACTGTCAAAAAGGAACCTCTGAGGAAATAAAACCCTAGGCTAGCCCTGTCTTCCTTAAACCCTGGAGCCTACTGTCTATGTTGCCCCTTGCTAAACTCCTAAACCCTATGCCCTACTTCACCCCTGTTCTGCTCCCAGACCAATGTTTCAGCTCAGGGCCTCCCCCTCCTGGGCATCCGCTGGATTGCGTTTTCTTTTTCTATCTTGTTTGTGTACTATCCTTGTATCATTCTCTCTCTTACTCCCTCTTTGCTTAAGTGGACTTCTTCTCTCGGCTCTGCCTGAAACCCTAAACTCTAGCTTCTATCCTGCTTCCTCTAATCCTTCCTCCTCTTTCTTCATATAGTGTGGCATACTGCGTAGCCACACGGGCCCTGCAGGGCCCGTCCTGGACATTCAGCCTAAAAGCCTAAAACTTAGGGCTTACAGGCCCCGTTCGTTTCAGCCTGGAAGCTGAAAAAACGAGGGCCTGCAGGCCCTACCCCATTTCAGCCTATTTCTGGGTCTTTTCAGACCCAGAGTTTTCAGCCTGAAACGGAGGGCCATTTTCAGGCCCTCATTGTTTCGACCTGCCCCTAA